TAACAAACACACAGATTATCACCTCCTAGAAAACAACATTTTTAACTGTTAAACCGAAACAGTGAAAAAGTGGGAATAAAAACCATGGCAAGAGCTGCGTGGGTTTTATTTCAAGCTTCCTGCCCAGCAGTACACTCCTTATACTCCTATTTGTGAAGACAGCTGAAACAAAATCGACCTGAGCAGTCAGCTACCCACTAATCCTGCCCTAAAACCTCCACTTGAAATCTCAAGCATTTCAGCGATTACTTTAGCGCACAAAATTCTGAGAAACATTCACCCAGGCACGATGATAGTACAAAACCTTCAGCCCACCTCCCACGGGGACGACAGCCCAGCTTTCCAAAGGATTAAGCCCTCAAGGCTGATTTAAACTTGTTTGCCAAAACTTCGGTGTATCCAGTCCGGCCGAGCAGAAAAAAAGAATTTTTTTTCACAGGAAGGGTGGTCTGTCTGTCTGTCTCGTTTATGTAAAGACTAACGGTTCTAGGAAACTCTGGAGCTCAATTTCTTAGGAACTCAAAGGGATTTTTTCAGTTTCATGGTAAAACAACACTATTGTGGGCAGTATTTGTGCACGTGAATGAAGATAAGGATGGTCATCCCACTAATTTACTGATCACTTTGTCGTTCATAATAATGGCTCCTCGCCACACCCCAGTCCTCCTGCTCTGTTCAAAAGACAGAAAGAATTAAACCAATCGTCTCAAAACAAGCTAGGCCAGAACACAAGACCAAAACCATGAAAAGGAAGAATTTCTCTAGTCACCAAAGATGCCATCTTCATAAAGCAATAAGCCCTTCATGAGCAAAGATTTGATTTTCTCTTTGTAAGCAAGACTTTTTTCCCATCTGCAATGAATAACATTCTGTCTCTGTGTTTCTAGCTACTGTCTGTCTATAGGAAAAAATAAAAAAAGCAGAATTACAGAAAAATTGAGACCTCATGAGGTCTCAGGTCCTACCTCCGACTCAAAATAGGGTTAAATTCAAAGCAGGGTTGAAGTTGCCCAGCGGCCTGCCCAGTCAAGATCTGAAAGTCCCCAAGGACAGAGATCCTCCAGGCTCTCTGGGTCACCGCTCCAGTGCCCAATCGCTCTCACTGTAAACAGCTTTTTTCCTTATACCTACAATTTGCAGATATGAGCAACTAGAAGAACGATTTTGCACAAGCAAACGTACCTACTTTAAGAGGACCAGCTTCCAACCTGCATCTACCAGTTTTACAAATGCTGAAAAATGTTGTAAATAGAACCCACGTTCCATACTCAGGTACCGACGGTCGCCTTGCTGCACGCACAGTGAATATTTCTGGAATTCCAGTTGGGAAAAAGTCCAGCTTAGAGAAACCAAGCACATTTTCTAATTACATCTACGCAGAATTCTGTGCTGTACCCATATTTCCAGAGCGATGCTTTCCAAACACAAAGAGTGCATGAAGAGCTACACATACCTGTGGTACCTGAGCTGCAAGGAACTTGCCAGGAGCAGTGTGTTTGGGTTTGCAGACCATCTGCAAGTCATTTTTGTTAAGTACCCATCCGTTTCACACGTCATATTAACGTTCACATCTAATTAAAACATATTGGAAGCTGATTAATAAAGGCATAATTGTTTATAAAAAAAAATACACGCATTACAAGTCTTAACTGCTCCGTGAAAGCTAACCGGCGTTTACATCAGAAATATTCTGACCTTGCTATTAAAATGTACAAAAATCATAATTTAAAATCATCTGGAATCTTACCTACTACATATAATTCAGCGTATCTATGATGACACTCCCTATTTCGGTGACAACAGTATAACGCGTTATAGAAGAAACTTCCTCTAGGTTTTGTTGCTTTCAAGTTGAAAAGAGTAACTTTGCTTACACGATCACTCACAAGCGTATACTGACTTTCTGGGATTTCTTCTGCTAAATTCAGCCACCAAACAATCTTCTTGGACGATACAATCTTGGTTTTGTTTTTATAGATGCAATGAAAGGAAACGTTAGAACCGACGCTGGTCAGTATCTTAGGAGGGAAGTACAGGACTTCAGCTACACAGAAGAGGGGAAAAAAGGGGAAAAAAAAATCCATTGAGATTAGAATCTTAAAAAGAAACCCATAAAAGCATAAGTCACTAGAAAAGTATTATTATGATGATCTCAGTTGTATTTCTAGATTTCCTACTTCTTAATTACTACTAACAACCATAGGGGAGAGAGGCAGAAACGAGCATTTGCCTATCTCCCTCCAAAACTGATGTTTGCAAATTCTGCTAAAAATAATCTTTAATATCCCCAGGCAAACAGGAATTAAATGAGCAGAGAATCACCGGAGGGCACAAGAGAAACAGGGAATCATACAGACGCCTGTAAATTAAATCTTGGGAAACTAGATCAACACCGCTGCTTTTTACTCAGCCCACGTTTTTAAGGCACCAGGTCAGCTTATTAAACACTGCAGCGAGTACTTGCAACCTAGAAAGGGTGACCTTCTGTAACTTGTCTCACAAACACATACATCACACCTTTTAAAATCAGAAAATTCTCCTCAGGTTGAAGTGAGAGAAGATCCCAATCTAAGAAGAGTGATGTTTGGGTTGAGGGGGAGGGGAGTGGAAAAGTGACTCTCTGAACCCTGCAAGGATGTTGAACTCGTGTGCTAGCTGAAGCATTACTGTCACACTGATTTTGTGAGAATTGCTACTTAGAACTGGGGGAAAAGGGACTGAAAATAAATACGCAAAAAAGAGAATAAAGCCAGGCTTTCCAGTAGCTTCTAATCGTGCTCCCATTGAAGGCAGCAGATGGATGTAACGTGCGTTACAACCTCAGCAGCGGGGTTAATGCCCACGGTAGCGGTGGGACAGTAACTCACCTCGGCATAAAGGCACCGAATTTGCAGAGCAGGTGAACATGCATAAGCTCAGCCTCAATCAGGCAGGCACTTAGGGAAGCTACCGGCATTTTACATCTGCTGAAAAGGAACACTATGCTGAAGATAAAGCCAAAGCCAGCATGAAAATCCTTAAAAGATCAGGTCTGCTGTCCACAGTCGAGAAGCCAAGCCAGGTATTTGGGGGGATTTTTTCCAAAATGCAGGCATTCTCAGACAGCAGAGCTGACTTACAATGCTCTTATTGTCGAAGCCTTTCCTGTCAAATATAAATCAGAACGTGAAACTGGTCGGCTGCACAAAAACATCTAACGGTCTGATTTCAGCATTTACTACGTGTCTTCCCGTAGCAGCTGCTTCCCTGCTCCCAGCCGTGCCGCACGCTCCCCTGCTCTTCCAGGGGCTCATCCTAACACTGGGAAAATCTGCCTGCACTGAAGAAATTAATCCCTCTATGCTGCCATCAGGTTTGTCACAACGGGATTATTTTGCTGATGAGATTTATGTTTAATACAATTAGGTATCTCTAATGGGATTAATAAAAACTAATCTAACGGTACCTACGGGCACCTTTTACATCTGTATTTCTCCATACACTCAGAAACCCTTTCTGAAAATATCAGGGTATGTGTGTGTAATATATATACACGTGTACTTTTTAAAAAAAAAGAATTATATGTATATAGACAAATCCAAAATACTAATGGCCAGTTAGGTCCCTGGGTATATAATCAGGCATGCAGTGTTTCATGCTCGACTGCCATGAGGGTCTGCATATTTTCAGCTTTCTTAGAAGAGATCTCCTTCTGTAAAATTTGGTTACTTCCTTGGTACTTGATTTAAGCAGAGACCTGCTGCTCTTTAGCATGCAGGTAAGCACGTGTGTATGTAAGCGCCCAGGCAAAGCACAGGTACTGTCACGTCACGGTTCAGGGGAGACCTGTGACAGCGCAGGCCAAAACATTTCCAGTTACCCAGAAGTAGAGAGCAGAAAAATACAACGCAAAAAATCCTGAAATCTTTAGGCTGACTCAAACCAGGTGGAAGTGAATCAGCACATTGATTAGAGCCTATAAGATTACGTGCTTAACACCAAAGCCACGCACATTGAATCTGACTGACTGGGGCTATGATGTGGTTCAGGTACAGGGCTCAGCGTTACAGTTATGTTAAATCTACAACCCCAAACTGCCTTCTGTGTTTAGTTCAGCTACAAAGCCTCAGACTCAGTGAGAAGTTACAGAAAGCATGAGGAGAAAAATCTCGTACTGAGTAGAGGTTCACCACTGCCAACTGTCTTTTGAAATGGAAAAACTCCTAGAAAAAGAGTTTTCTGGGGGTGAACAGGTGCTTGGTGAGCAAGCAACAAGGTGCTGTGGAGCTGACTGAGCTGTCTACATGCCTTAGTCCAGAACTCTTCTAAGGCAAGTCTTGTATCTTGAACCTCAGGCAAAGCCATGCAGAAAGAGAAGCAGAAGGGGAAAGAATTTGCACAAGGTTTTTTCAGCCCAGCTCACACGTGCTGTACGTCCCTGGGTAATGCACGCTCACCAACACTCGTTCCACAAAACAAACGGAACTGGGAAATCTGTTCTATTCCAAAAGACCACTCGCTGCCCATAAGGGACTGCACGTGACCAACCTCCCAAGTTGAGATCATACGTTGTGCTCCAGTCACTCCAGAACCCGGGACCATGACGATTCCTGCACCGCACTTGAATGAAGTATGAAGAATCAAGCGGTGTGTTGTCCAGGGCCAGTGAGGTTTCCAGAGCAACTTGAATCATCTGCAGGATTATCAGGAGCCGTTACTGTTGTATAACGGAACAGGAAAAAGAAAGAGACAGAGGGAACCAAAACAAATAGTGCAGACAGTAGTTTTTAATTAGCAAGTTGGGTAAAAAAAAGCCGCCGCCTTTAAATTTACTGTAAATTTGAATACAGTAGAGGGTGCATATCTCTGTGGAAAACATGTTATTTTGTTACGGACTCCTAAGTAACAGCTGCTTTTTATTCCAGAGCCAGTTATGTGGTAGCAACAGCAAAAGCAATTCACTAATATAAGCTATAAATATTAAACATACACGCACATATCATGTTTGCTGAAAGGAGAGAGCATTGCCTTTAGACTTAACAGAATTTAGCATTTCATCCAAAAAGAAAGACGGGAGTTTGTTTGTAAGACCCACCAGGAGACAGGTCTTTCAGCCATGTAGTGGCCCTCCCAGTGTAACAGATGTCAAGTACAGTTTGCCAGCTTTGCCACACTCTGCTGACATTTACTAAGGTCTACTGGAAACACCAGCTCAGGATAAACCAGTGTGCCATGCCCAGCTCCAGCAGACCAGCCATGTTGTTCAACACACTGAAGCCAGTGCCCAAGGACAAGGAGGGCTGTAAGAAATCTCAGGCTCTAGAAGAGACCCACTGACCTGCACCGCTCCTGTGGCAGCCAAAGCGAGCAAGCCAACTCACCCGCCGACCCGTTTGAGCCGAATTTGCAGAGATCTTCACTTCATACTGCAGTGGGTACGGCACCAGCGCAGGGTCGGACCAGCAGACCTTCACTTGACCTTTCTCTGTCACTTCTGGATGCAGGTTCAAAGGAGGATCAGGCTTCACTGTGGGCAAATTAATTGACAAGTTTACCACCACCCTTATCACTCGTGACTGCTGGTGGTAATGGGTTTTTACTGCTTCAGAAGTCTCTTCCTAGTTTACTTCAAACTCAGTTGTCAAGAGCTGCTCTACAGCTCTACACAGTAATGTTGTGTAACACCACTGGAAACGTGTGCCCTGGCAATGTTACCTAGCTAGCTTTCAGGACATGCTGTTTGACTTAACACTTGCCTTGAAACCACAAATACTTCTTGCCTTGGGCCACGATTCTTCCCAGCAGCCTAACACTAACTACCTGTTTTGCTGAAAAGAGGGCTGAGAGGGATGGGGGCATTCAGCTCCTTAGGAAACAGGAGATAATGTCCTCATATTGTACAGAAAGAATTTCTAAATATTCCCATGCCTTCCACAGTGATTACGGCTGTGAAAGAAAGTCTCTGGGAGAGCTACATTAGGGCAAAGTAAAAATAGAGGCTTTCAGAAATTTCCCACGAGGATGAAGGGAACCCTCTGGGGAGGGAAATGGATGAGTAATTTAGAATGATGACTAGGATTACACTCACTTTCCTCGGACAAAGGCAAGGATCCCAGATCCTACTTGTACCTGTTACTGAGACTTTTTCAAATCACTGTGTAAGTACAGTGTCTTTCGATTGATCTTATCCTCATTCACAGCTCTGAGCTCCTCCCAGGCAAGAGTAATCCCCTGTTAAGAGAGCTGAGTAAACAGCATGTGCAAAAGCTGAAGAGAAAGCATTTCCAAGGGTCTTTGGCAGCGAGCATGTGTTCTCTTTGAGTTCTATCTGCACTGGGTGTCCCCCCTCTCTTCTCCCGACACAACCATTCCCTCCATTCAGGGCTTTATGCTGTCTGTACTATAGTTTTGCTAACCTAGGAAGTGATTCGGGAGGAGGCACAGCTTTTACAAGACTCAGTAACTTTCACATCATACTTTGATGAATCTTACAACACAGACAATGAGGTCTATTCTGCTGATGCCACCTGTTCTATGAATATCATCTATAAGCAAGTACAACTCCACATTACACAAGTATTCAGAGTTCTACTTTCAAAACAATTTTTAATTTAACTAAATCTTGGCAGAACATATACTAATATTATGCATTTTTAAAATACACTTCACTAAGCAGACCAAATTAATTATGTCATTTTAAATACTAGCAAATGCAACTCTGAATTTTTAATTTTTACCCGTAGCATAATTTAAAAGCAGCGTGATGAATAATGCAATGCCTCATCTTCAAAACTAGCCCACCCAGAGACTTTTCACTTATTCTGTCTGCAAAGCACACTGGTTAGGAAGAAGTTCATAAAAGTTGGGTTTTTTCCCCCCAGAGCTGACAGACTCCCCGCCTTCTTGAAATCTGCCAACAAGTGTGCGCACCAGATAGCAACACACATCAAACCCATAATGTCAGTATAGTTTTAACTTGATTAAATGCAGCAGAATGTTTTCCAATTTGGGAAATATGTGTATAAGGAATAAAGCTTCAGGACAACAGAGCTGTTTGAGACAAGAGGTGGTTTTATTTGCCGAGTAACTTCTGGAACATCTTTTTTCTCCCCTCAGAAATGCAGACAGGGGAGCTCTACCGCTGCCCCAGTCTTAGGCACAGCATGGAGATTAGAAATGAAAGGTTTAAAAGATAGGTCGCACTTACCTATGTCTATGGGCTTGACTGACATCAAAGGCGACCACAGAGGAGTTACACCCATCGTCATCCTCAGCCAAATGATGTACGTGTGGTTGAGCCTCGGAGCAGGCACGCAGCACTCGCACGCAGCCTCCTCCCGGCAGCCACATCGAGCGACCAGGACAGGCCCCTGTAGAGAGCTCGTAGTTACATCTCCCAGCGACAGCTCTGACCTACAGGGGAAAAAAACAAACCCTACAACAAAACACAACAGTGTTTCTTCCTGTATTCTATCTCGGTTTGTCCATCTGGATAAGGCTTATTTACAAAAAAGAGGAGGGAGAAAAAAGTAAAAAAGGCCGTCACTGTAAACGATCACTTTTACGTTGACATGTCTTTTTAAATGGTTTCCAAGTAAAGCAGTTGGATTTCATGAGAAGTATTCCTAGGGTTTGACTTCAAAACAAATGTGTTACAAATGCTAGATGACACCTGTAGATAGTCACACTAGTTGCTAATTCCTGACAGTAGCTATCACTGGATACTTCTGAGGTACATGAACTTAATTTACCTTTCAGGAGACTAACGGCAGCTCTCTGCAACTCCACACAGAGGTTACATTGTAATTCCTGTTCTGGAGGCACTGAAATAAAGTCTAATAAATTCCTCCCAGCTTCTGCTACAATTAAACATTACAAGTAACACAATAAAGAAAAACGTCCTCCCAAAATCTTAACATTTAGCAATTAATCCCAAGATAAGGCTTTAATTATTTTCATGCACAGCATGACTGTCTGAGTCCGATGCTTCCTAGGAAAGCAAATTATTTACTCACACAAATTACTACTATTCTCTTGGATAAGTTCATGGAAAGTATTTCATAAGTAACTTACTACATTTTGCTTTTATTGTGTCTCAGAGTAAAGCTCATAGGACTATTTTTCACTGAATGTTCAGATTTAGTTTCAAGATTTTGGGGTTTTGCTTTTTTTTTTTTCTTTCTATTAACACTTCTTCCTTGAAAGCTTAATATACATAGCTTTTGATTAGATAATACACTGCAAATTTGGATGGTCCAAGATAAACATTTGAAATTTTAAACCACTAATAGCTTGATGGTCATAAGTTTCATAAACAGTTTAATCAGATTTTCCAATAATATGATTTCAACACACTTTAAATAAACTACAAAGTTGCGTATGCTGATACAAACAGTCACATATCATATCTGTTGATGCTAGCAAATGTTTTATAGGATACAAGAACATACATGTTCACACTGACATACAGGCTGTCACATTTATCTTAAATCTCTAAAACAAATCAAACTATCCTCGGGTCAACTTCAAGAAGCAGCACGAAGACAACCCACACTATTTCCCCTCTCCACGTAAGCACAGATGCTTTCCCAGTCCATTTCACAGGCATTTGTAGAGCAACCCTCAGGTGTCTGAGTACCCTTTAATACATTTTCAATCCCCACTGACTTGAGTCAAACCATTCTCAATTTATGAAATAAATACGGCACAAGTGGGCCCAAAGCTGGTCTTATTCTGAGAGCAATTGGCGCTTCCCAAGGCATCCTTCATTCTCATTTCTAGTCCACAGCTATTCTCTGGGCTCTTCCAAACAGCAAAGCCAAGACAAATCCTGACAGCTAAACCATCCTGGATTCTTTCCTGCTTTTGACATTTCATCCTTACAGGAAAAAAAAAAAAACACAAAACAACAAACTTATGCTTTGAATTTTTCTGAAGTAATTTTGGAATTATTCCTGTACAGTAAGGGTTTTGTTTTACTAATTCAGAGAAAGAAATCAAAGTGAATAGAATAAGAACATTCCTGTGAAGTTTTAGAAAAGTTGGTACGACTCATTGTAACACTTGAGTTCAGGGGGGGCAGAGAACTCCGCATCAGAGGAGAAGAAAGGAAAAGATTTTCCACTTTTTTGGTCTTAGCCAATTTAGTGTCTCGTAAATGTAACTGACTATAGAGCCCAGAGGAAAAGGGCACGATTCAGCACTCCCGTCACCGTAACCTGCCCACCTAGCACCTTACTCTGCAGCAATGACCCCATAAGCTATGCAGGTTCCTACAAATACCTAGTTTACATTTATTAATGCTACAGACAGTCAATTCTGACATTCTTAAAATCATTTTTACCAGGACTCATAGACTTCAGGACACAAGACTTATGGAATCTCCTGCTGGTGGTATCTGGCAGACACATAGCTTTAAATTACTTGGAATATTTTTGTTTCTAGAGTTGCAGCTCCACTTCTTTCTCCTGAATTTCCTTTCAAAGACTTCGCAGAATTTCCTTTCAAGTTTCCCTGCTTTCTATTGTTGCCTGCAGATTTTGTTAGGTTAAAAAATCCCATGATCAATCCATAAGAATGTTGTCTTTTCATCAAGCCACATCTTCATCCCGATCTATCTGGAAAGCAGTTACCACCACAACCGTCCCCATCTTTCTCCTTATCATTCCTAATAATAATTGCAACGATCAAACTGAACTTATCTGCACCCAGACGACCTGTGTACAGGGGAAAAAAAATATGCCAGAGAGCTTCTCCCCATGTTGTGCTGTGCCAGTTGTATGTTTCAAAGGCCACTTTTTTGGGAGCAAACAGGCACAGGCTGTGGTTTCTCCCTTCTCCACAAACCTGGCAAGACACCACGACTCTCTCACAAAATTGAGTCTGGGATAAGAGAATAGATCAACGGACTCAATCACGAGGGCCCCTCCACTTATTCCAAGTTGCCAAGCCTGGGCTAAATGTATGAAACCTGATTACAAGCAAAACAACAGAACGCCAAAATATTTTGGAGGCCTGTGGCAGCCTGAGATTGCCTGAGTTCCTGTCGTCTTCAGTCTGGCTGCAGATGGGGCCACTCACAGAATAACCATTGCTCCCGAGCCGTAGATACCCACTTTAGAGGAGCTTGTGCTTATAAGGCACTCTCAAGTTCGGGAGGGGTCAGTGCCTTTATGCAGTAGAATGAGAGAAGAAATTGTGGTTGAAACTTAAACCAAAGCAACGGGCCATTAAAAATTGGAGTTTTCCATCAGACTCGCAGCATGCTGAGAGAAGCTGTAAATTCTGGTTTGCCCAGCACTTCAGGTTGCGCCCCAGCAATCACATCTAAGCCAAATTGTGGTGGGGGGAAGGCAAGAGAGAGGGTTTATAAAATAAATGAGTATATACTAGGTCTGCATTCTGTTTTACAGTACTGACTGCTGGAATTGGGGAGATTTGTCTTGGCACAGAGAGGTAAACAAAAACCAGGTTTTGAGGTACTAAACGTGATGTTCTGTGACGAGATTAGCAGAGCCCACCTCTGAGATTCAACAGAAAGCTCGTAAACTTAAGTTTCAACAGAGAAGAGAGGGACAATGCATAAAAGCTTTAACGTGATTTTAAGCTGCAACTAAAGCACAGGACGCTACAGGAAAGTTAAAAAACCCAACAATCTACAACAAACACTGAACCCCAGAAGTAATTAACGGTGCAACAAGGGCACGAAGAAGCAGAGAATCACTAAGGCTCGAAAAGACACGCCCAAGGTTTGCTTTTCTTTTCCACTCCAAACACCACACTTCTCAGTTGTGCAGAGGTAGCTCTTTTAGTCAACAGGGTAAGTTAAAATCTCCTACATGTTTAGTGTCTTGGTGCCCAATCCAAACATGCTTCACGAGGTGGTGGTACTTGTGCTGAAGTCATCTGTGGCCCCATAGAGAACTTTTAAACTTTAACTTAAGACACTGCAGAATGTCTTTATGGAATTCCAACCCATTTCTTGCAACCGGAAAACCTAACCAACAATAAAGGTCAAAACTGTTTTAGGAAGAAACATAGGAACTTCTACAACTCCTTTAATTTCAGGAATGGTACAACATTCCATTTAGGTAGTTGTGTTGATGTATATCAGAAATAAAGCCACAACTGTAACTCTGCTTTCAGTATTGCTATATGCTGTGCCTGTACTTTTATTAGGAATTGTTGGAGCAAAGCTCCGTTATTGAAAATCTGAGGATTGTCAATAATGACATGCCAATGTGTTTGATAAATAGTAGCTCTAGGACAACACTTACTTGAAGAAGATGCCCCGTTAAACTGTAGAACAGCTGATGGCTGCCAGGCTCACCAGAGGGTAAGTCTCTAATGAAAGGTTAACGTTCTCCAGCTCAAGAAGGCTGAATGGATAACTTATGCACACAACTAAACCACTAGTCTTGAGGCAAATTACACAATTTATCCATAAAAACACTTGAGTCAGAACTAAAAGAGAGCCTCACAGGTACTTCAAATAGGTCAGAAATATGAGTACACCCTATACATCAGCATCTGCTGAAAGGGCAAATTCTAATCAGTGCTCAAAATGAAACTGGGAGCATTCATCTGTGTCACTACAGAAGGATCCCTAAGGCTACGTGATTTCAGTTAATGTAATTAACTATCGGGGTTTACAGAATTCCCAGAAAACACACAACTTGAAAGATCATTCACTTCTGGTAGACAATTAACCTAATTTGTCTAATCTTTCTTCTCCCAAAGACAAGCTGCTAGGAACGTTAAAAGCCCTACCATTACTCTTGCTTGAGGCTCTTAGAGAATGCTGTCATAGCACTGTTTTGGACAGAACAAAACATTATCTTTTCAAATTAACTGGATACCATTTACAGGCAGGCAAACTGTGGATGTGTGAAATAAGAGGATACTTCTTTAATGCTGGAAACAGAATTAAACGCTCTTGAGGGCTCAAGCTTTTCTAGGTGATTATTTTTGTACACTGTCTGTCCTATATGTGAGAATTTTGGCTTGGTCTCCAGATTCCCAGGGAGTAACACATGCCAAGAATGCATATTTTTAAAACTGGGAACATTTTCAAGGTATTCTGGCTCATGCGAATAAAATGTTAAGGTATCAGCAAGCCAAGGGGGAAACCTGTCACCTTACCAAAATGTGAAACGCTTCACTTAGCTGTTCCCCCAGAACACAGAGACCTTAGAAGAAAAATATTAAAATGAAATCTGGGGAGTGAAACAAGTTCTCCAATGTCAGGGGTGGCACCGCATTTCACCTTTGCAGCAAAAAATAAGCAAACACAGAAATGCCACAAGGACTCTAGTGAGTCTATAGGGCCTGCTCTCATGAATTGCATGACACCAAGAGAACTCCTTTCATAACCCAGAGAATCTCTTCATCCCAGCTGGAACTCGAATCTGTTATTCCATGGGTGTTACACATACCAAAAAAAATCAATATAGAGATTACTACACTAAGATTACCGGCAAAATTTTCTCTATTGCAACTGAGACTGGATGGAACAGAGGTGAACTCAGATCGACTGCTCTCACAGACACACATGTAATGATATTTCAGAAATCAAAGTAATGAGGAACACTGGGAACAGGAACCCACTCAACATCTGATTTCAGCTTTCAAGTATTATGTCACCTAACCAATGACATTCTTACTAGTTAGTACATTTGGCTACAGGGATAATTTGTGACAAGTGATAATTGGCTTTTTAAGCAGAAGTCGTCACCTGTAAATTCAGATAATTCAACTATTTATGTTTTGCCTATCAGTAATTCAGAAAAAAAAACAACAACACAGTGTGGTTTCTTAAGTGGAATCAAAAAGATCTTTTTACGAGCACATCAGGGAAACCAAGTATAGAAGACCTACCCAGCCCACAGTCAGGACAATTACCACCTATTTCCATTCCAGAGAATATTTACTGCAGTGACAACTGTCCAGGTGGGTGTCTCTCAGAGGCAGCGACGTGATTAGAGCAGCATCTGGCATTGTATAAGATGCTAAGTAATGTAATTACTTCAAGAGAGAGAACATTATGGTCAAAAGCATTAAAAAAACGGCAGAAGCAAGACTGCAGAGCTTCAAAACCAAGCAATTGTAACAGCAAAGATATTTTAGCAAGTCAATCCTGAACTCATTAGAGCATTTTAAGAAACATGGAAAGGACAGAGGAGGGCGAATCTCCATTCCAACAATTTCTCATTCAAAGACAGAAACGTAAACTTTCCATATTGTCCACGATTACTTTTGGGTAAGACAAAGGTACCTAATGTATCACCTGCTTGCAAAGCTAATGCTGCCACCTTGAGAGGCCAGTATTGATGTTTCAGAAAACACTTTCAGATTTCTAATGCTAATAGTGACAAATTTAACGTGTACTTACACAGAATATATAAGATTAACCTTCAAGCTGGCTCTCCAATACAACTTCAAAAGCTGCAAGCTACAAACCAACATGTCCAGCTTGCCCTGAATCCAACATTCAATGTTCCAATTTGAATCTGAACGAAAGAGAGTAAATATTTCTGAACTATAATGAAGTAAAAAACCAAACCGCCACAAACAAGAAACAAACAGCTTAAGAGTCAGGATAAAATTCACCCACAAAAAGAGGAGAAATAACAGATATTCACGAAGATGAGGATGGACCACAAGCGTGTAAATGTTTATGAGTAAACCTTGAGAGCAGTATGCCAACAGGCTGGCACACTGCTCAGAGGCTGGGGTTTACAGGAGGAGAAAAACAGCCCAGGAAAAGAAATAATGCCAACTAATCCGTGTACAGATATTTACTAAGGCATCATAATCCAGGCAGAAAAGATGGCATTTGCTCTCCATCTCCCCCGACTCCTCAGGGAGTTTAAAGCCCATATCCACAAAATTATTTAAAATATTTGTCACTGAGTCTAAACAATTCTGAAGATCCTCATATGCAGTATTTTATTCAAAATTTCCCTAGAAAGACAGTCAAGCTTTTTTTTTTTTCCCCTCTGGAACTGCACTATACAATTTCCTTCCTCTTCCACTACAGACTTCCATGAGCAAGGATTTTACCATCCTGCGTTGTCTGCTCTGGGTAAAAATGAATGTCCATTAAGACAGACCACCTCCCCTCCTCCCAAGCGACAAAAAAACCCAAGTATTTCTCGAAGAAGAAGTAATTTCTTGTGCCCTCAGATGGAAAACCTACCTATGTCCTGAGAAGCAGAGACACTTATTTCTGAAGGAATAAAATTCCTTGCTTGCATACTTGCTCTGTGCAAAGAACAATCAATGCTGTTCCCACTCCAAAGGCAACACGGAAAACTTTCTTCTCCTGTTGGCAAGGAAGGCTTAGTTTCAGACGGTTCCTGCTCTCTCCTTGGCCCAGCCCAGCCTTTCACAACGCCAGTAGAAAAAGGACTCAAAACCGTCTCATTCAGCAGCATACAGGGTAACGTAAAGTTCCTGGGGGAAATTTGATGGACCATACAATGGGCAACTGCCATATGAAGAAAGTCTGAAAATAGATATTGGAAATAAAAGAAAACGTTCATATTACATGACGATGGAAGGAGAGTGGCTGGTGTTATACAGAAACACATTGATTACATAAAATCAGACTATTTCCAGAGGTTATTCTCCTCTGAGTTACAGACAAAACTACTAGAAATATCTCCTCTGAACTGGTGTCACAATTGACAGATGCCAGCCTTCTCCACCAATGCGCGCTCAAAGGCCAGAAAGCCAACTGCACTCTGGGCTGCACCAAAAGCAGCGTGGCCAGCAGGTCGAGAGAGATTATGCTGCCGCTCTGCTCTGCTCTGCTGAGACCTCACCTGCAGTGCTGCGTCCAGCTCTGGAGCCTCCAGCACAAAAAGGACACAGACCTGTTGGAGCGGGTTCAGAGAAGGCCACAAAATTGATCAAAGGGCTGGAGCACCTCCCCTACAAGGACAGGCTGAGAGAGTTGGGGCTGTTGAGCCTGGAGAAGAGAAGGATCCTGAAGGGGAGACTTTGTAGTGGCCTCCCAGTGCCTGAAGGGGCTGCAGGGAAGCTGGGGAGGGACTCCTGACCAGGGGGTGCAGGGGCAGGACAAGGGGCAATGGTTTTAAGCTCGAGCAGGGCAGATTTAGATTAGTCGTTATGAAGAAGGTCTTTACTACGCAAGTGGTGAGACAGCAGCACAGGTTGTCCAGAGAGGTGGTGGAGGCTCCATCCCTGGAGATATTCAAGGTCAGGCTTGATGGGGCTCTGAGCAACCTGATCCAGTTGCAGATGTCCCTGCTCACCACAGGGGCTTGGACTAGATGACCTTGAAAGGTTCCTTCCAGCCCAACGCATCCTATGATTCTCCCCCAAAGTCACTACACCTAACTTCTTGTTTTCTCAACCTC